ACCTTCAGAAATAGTAAAGCTGTCTTGGGGTTAGTTTCTTTAGATTGAGTACTAAAAATTACATGAGTTTTGTAAAAAAAAAAAATGTTTGTCACATAGCGCCAATGTTTATCTTGAGGTTTTTACCGGAAATCGACTGTTTTACCCCTGTGTGCGTCGTTCTGTTTTCTAGGAGATAGAATAGAGAAAGGAGCTACAATTTTGGGACACTACCATACAGCATGGCCATGCTGCAATTGTTGGTAGCTGACATCTGCATGATAACATCAATATCTTCTCAACAGGGTACAGCATAGACAGCTGTGGATCATCAGGTGTAACACATTTAATATAATTTTACTTATGTAATACAATTTAAATGTATTTGGTTGGTAATTAAAAAATATTCAAAAGTATGAATTTTTTATTCAATTTTAAATTAGACATCACAGTAACACAAAAGATTCAGAATCAAAGACTAACAGTCGAGTTTTTAAAAAATGAATAAAATTTGAGGTATATAACATAAATAATAAATTGTGTGTTGTGGAAATTGAATGAACAATAGTTTTATGTTGGAACATGTCGTTAAAAGTTGAAATTGTTTTATTGAGTATAAAGGTTTTAGTTAAAATATATAATTATAGTTAAATGTAATTTTAATGTATACCATAAATAATTTATAGGAATAATAGATAATGAAAAAGTTATGTATGGTTTTTGTCCAAATTTAGATGCTATTTTAGCTCGTTAGCCAATAATTATCTTTCATAGGTCATTATAATTAGACTTGTCAAATAAAGATTTCCAGAACTATTGATTTTCACCAAGTCAAGTTAATTTAGGATAGTTGATTTATTTGTATATTTATCTCTAAGCATGTTATATTTATAAATAATAATAATAATAAAAGGCTTAGTGAACCCGGAGGTTCGTTGCCGACACCACCAATCGCTTATTACACATCTCCCTCCATCGTTCGCCGTCCAAAACTAGTCCCTTCAGATGTTTACTATTCGGTACAGCAAATATCAACCTTTTAGGTATTCTTTCATTGTCAAGCCCTACTATTTTACAAGCCCATTTGATTCGCCGCGATGTAATCACCTCAATTATATTAACTGGAAACAGTTCATGCAACTCCGCGTTGTGAACTCTCCGGTTAACTCATCTTTCTTTGGTCCGAATATTTACGCAATATTTTATTTTTAAAAATCTCAAGAAGTTGCTCATCTCTTAATGTAACCGGCCATGTTTCGCATCCATAAAGAACTGTAGGTAGGATAATAGTTTTATAGATTCTAGTCTTTAAATTCCGGGACAAGATGTGCGAGCTAAGTAGTTCTGTCACAGAAAAATAACAAGCATTTCCCGCCTTTAGCCTAACCTTAATCTCTTCTTCAATTTCATTTTTTCGAGTTATCATAGACCCTAGATACTTAAACTTCTCTACCTGTTCAAACATATTACCTTCTATATCGATATCACTAAAAATATAGCCATTTTTGCAGCTACCATATATTTTGTCTTATCCGTGTTTATTTCGAGCCCTAGTTCTTTACCGGCTTTCATTAACGTTGTCGTATTTAGTTTTATAGGTTTCGTGTCTTCGCTTAACAGGACCAGATCATCCACATAGCCAAGCACAGGTGTTGTTCCACCCAGATCCAACCTTTTTTCATTATGCATCACCTCCTTAATAGCATGTTCTAATGCCAAGTTGAACAGGACAGGTGAAAGGGAATCCCCCTGTTTTCTATCTATGATCTATCTGACATGACCCCATTAAAGGAAAGTATTGGATAAAGAAGAAGTTAAAAATATGAGTTATACCCAGAAAATCAAATTTTATAATATTTAGTTAGCAAGTTTTGTTTAAGCAACTGCATAAATGTCTGAATATATATATATATATATATATATATATATATATATATATATATATATATTATATATATATATATATATATATATATATAGGCAACTGTATAAATCTGAATTAGTGCCTATAGATACCAGTAAACCAATTTCAATTTTATAATTATTTGCATAGTTAAGGATAAATGGATATTGACAGTAGGCAATAAAAAAATTCGTAACCATTTTGGTAAATTAAACAAATAATATGCAGGGTGTCCCGTAAGTAGAGGGAAACATTTAAAAGGTTGATAGCAGAGATCAAGATCTACAAAAAAAGTTCATATAAACAATTTCCCAATTTCCCGCAGAAAAGTAATAAATTTAATATTTGTGTTTTTTTAAGCGACTCATGTGTTTTGATTGAATAGGAAGCAATAACGTAAAAAAATATTTAACTTAAGTAATTAAACATTGCTGCATAGTAAACTAGAGGAAATTTTGCTTTAAATTAAAGTAGAGTTTGTCATTGTTAAAACTATTTAAAGAGGGCTATTGAGCGGACAAAAACAGCTAAGCTCTGTTTAAAAACATAAATCTTAAATTTCTTACTTTTCTGCAGGAAATTGGGAAATTGTTTATATGAACTTTTTTGTAGATCTTGATATCGCCTATCAACCTTTTAAATATTTCCCTCTACTTACGGGACAGCCTGTATATTACTTGTTTAATTTACCAAAATGGTTACGAGTTTTTTTTTTTGCCTACTGTCAATATCCATTTATTCTTAACTATGCAAATATTTATAAAATGGAAATTGGTTTACTGGTATCTATAGGCACTAATTCAGATTAATACAGTTGCCTATATATATATATATATATATATATATATATATATATATTCAGACATTTATGCAGTTGCCTAAACATAACTTGCTAACTAAATATTATAAAATTTGATTCTCTGGGTATAACTCATATTTTTAACTTCTTCTATATCCAATACTTTCCTTTAATAGGGTCATGTCAACCTCAGAAAATAGGGAGAGTCAATTATAACTATGTTGGTAATATTGTTTTTAAGTTTCTTGAAAAATTATTAGTAACGTTAACCAAATGTTAAGCTGTTCCCCTTTATGTCGTATTTAATGATTATTATTCAGTCTTCTCAATTTAACAGCATATTCTACCTTGGATGATATTTAAAATAAGTCATTTCTTATAAAATACCTTTTGTTTTTATAATGAAAAATATTGCTCATACTACTATTTTAACTTAAAACTGAAATTGTTTTCTTCTCTATGATGAGCCTTTATACACAGAAATATGCTCCTTACATACTTGAGATAATGTATGTAAGTATAATTCTAGGTTCAATAAAAATCAGACAAAATAGGGGCTGGAGAAATATTTTGTGCTCATAAAACAATAAAAAATTATACACTTCTTTGGAAGTATATTATTAACATATTAAACAATTTTATTGTTTTTTTATCTTTTTATTGAGTAATATTACATTTTTTTTTCATAATGAAGGGCATTGGCTGTAATGTGCAGAATTCACATCATGTTACATCATACAGAAAATATAAATAACTTAAGTAACATAATGGCTAAATAACAAATGAAATTTAAAAAAAATATATTATAAATTAACAGTTTATTATTATAAAGTAACAAGAAAGTCTTTGACAGAATCCGTAAATACAAGAGCATAAGAGGATTTGCAAAACAAATGAGAAAGGAAACAAAAAATTGAAAATAACAAACAAGGACTGCCTAGATAGGGAACTATATAGAAAAAAATGAAAAGAAATCAAGGTTCGTGCTGAAAATAAAGAAAAACAGAAGGGTACTGCTTGGTAAAAAGAAATTGAGCAAAGGCACGCAGAAATGATGAGAAGAGAAAAGCGAGAATGAGAAAGCAAAAGTAATGATATTTGCGTGATCTTAAAAGGCAGTTTCGTGAAATAGGTAAAATAACATCTTAAACAGCAATATTTATATACATTATTTACAATCAGCCAAAGGAACTCTGAGCCTGGTTTGTCCCTTCACTTGTGGTTATGCAGGACTCCAGGAGAGGTCTTAGGGAATCTCTTTCAACCATGTCACTGGTATTTAAAGGCTGTCAGTTACTTCTAAAACAGTGTTTCTATTTTAATTTAATCATCTCTTAAATATTCAGTAAATAAGCTGACTGTTTCAATTGTCTTTTACAGTTTGACTTAAGCATGAATAATGTTTAACTAACTATTAAAAGAGAGTATATTTTTGTGAAAAATGTTATATACATTACATAATTAATTATTATTTTAATTATGTTAATCAATATTTCATAGTTTTGTTTCATCTTGTTGCTTTGACCGTGAACTCAATCAATATGTCTTATTTTCATTTTGAGAGCATATGATAAAAGTCATTCCCACTTGTGAAATATTTTCATTTTAATGGTGTATTACCTTTTTGTGTATTAACTTTAAGGTTAAAACTCTTTTTAAGTATTGAAATAATCAAGGCTATGTTTATCCACTGTATATTTATTCATTCAATGCTTTCTATTTACATGACAACATTTCGGCCATTAAACCATCCTCAGGCCAGTCTAAAAAGACTTGAAGAAAATGGCTATCTTACATGTTCAAATTTTAATGAAATAGTGATGCTAGTTATTAATAAGTAAATAATTGAATGTTAATCTGTTATTATCCTATATTGGATCAACTGAAATAAAATAACATTAAAAATATATACAATTAGATAAATCAAATCTAGCACTCCTTAGTAATAATTTTTGTTTTCATGTATAGTCTAAACAGTGATACTCGCTGTTTTTATTATATCTTCAAGCATTTGTATTAAGTTTTTATCTTCTGTTTAATTGATTCTGTACTGTATTCCCATATGTAGATTAAAAATTGTATTTTTTAGTTTAATTGATTTTTTCATTTGCAATAGTTCAAATTAACTCCTCTTGTTAAATTAACTAATAGCCTTTTTTTATGGATAGTTGAATTGTATCTATTATTTTGTACCTATAATTATACATTTTTTTATCTTAGCTTTTTACTTCTTTGTAATAACTTTTTCAATGAAATAATATAACAATGTTTAACATAACTTAATGTTCAAATATTAAAATGTACTATTTTCATGTTTAGATTCTGGTGAACTGCCTTTACCTCCTGGTTGGACTGTTGATTTTACTTTAAGGGGAAGAAAATATTATATAGACCATAACACAAAAACAACTCATTGGAGCCATCCTTTAGAGAAAGAAGGTCTTCCTACTGGTTGGGAAAGAATAGAAAGTCCAGAATATGGAGTGTACTATGTGAAGTAATTATTTGCTATTCTTAATAACATATTCTTTTGAAATAATATTGGTGATAATTATAATTATTGGTTGTAACATTATTTATATCAATTGAATTTCATCTCCCGTTTAAATATATATTTTTTAAATGTTTTTCTTTTCTTTTTTATGTAAATGGTCTAAAAATGGATTTTTTATTGGCTGTCTTTTTTTTTTAATTATAAGGATGATAAATAAACAGAATTTTCAGTCTAGATTTGTTTTATTTAGTTTGCTGACTTTTCAACCCAAGCGTGTGGGTCATTAGTGTAATGGTTATTGTATAGTCTACCATAAAGAACACTAGCAGTTCAAATCTAGTTTCAAATTCAGATGAAAATCCTGATTATTTAAATATTAATTTTAGAAAAGTTAATTATTTCAGAACTTGAATTGTGATATTTAGTTGATGAATTACATAATAATAGAGAGAGATATTTTATTTAAAGTAATGCTGCCCTACTACATAGGGTTGCTTCATACACAGCATACTTATCAATCCATATGGACATTACTATTATATTACATTTTTCTATATATATATATATATATATATATATATATATGACATATCTTTCCTTTCTTTTTTTTCCTCCCTTTTCATAACAATACTCTTATAAATTATCAACAATAAACCATATTAAACTATAGACATCGTATAACAAACATTTTCTCATGATAAAAAAGAAAAAAAAAATTAAATAACTTTAAAATGCCAGGAACTCAATACAACATTGCACACATATACCATAGTAATTCCACCAATATAGATATAAAGATAAGATAATTATAGACAAATTAAAAATTTAATAAGTAATTAATACAAGACATCCTCAATCACTATATAAATGATAGTGAATGATCCCTAGGAATTCCAAAATAATATTCTCGGCCCATATCGCGAGCTACCCAACATAAACACCTAGTTCCTCGAGGAAGCTCCTTGTTCTTTCCGGGATCGTTCCGCGGGACCCAAACCAGAGGCCTCGTATACCTTGTAGAGCCTTCACTGTCTATGCAATAGGCCTCATCAAAGCAGGTGAATTTCTTTTCTCTAAGGAGCCTCATCACCTCGAACTTTACCCTATGGTGCCGGCGTGTTATGAGGAGGAGCTGTTGCATTTTCCCAGCACATGGGCTGGTGTTTCAGACTCTCTGCCGCATTTATGACAGAGGAACCCAACTTCCTTCGACTGTCCACTGGCTCTTGAGACTCCACGTAAAGGTGCGTAATTGTTGTTTAGTTTTAAGGCATTGGACCATTCAGACCCCAAAAGCAGTTGTTTCTGCCATATGTATTTATTGGCATTCGGGTTCTCTTCAAAGTATCAAACTCCAATCCCTTCCCACCTGCAGCTGGCCCATTCCTCGAAATAGTTTTCTTTTAGCTACTGTTGTAGAGCTCTCACGCTTCTGTGGCCCTGATCCACTCCCAGTCTTTCCGCACATTCTGCGATTTTCGCATTATAATTAAATGTGGACTGGAATAGGGCATGCGGTACATTAGACAGCTGCTGGGCAATGGACTAATGCTGCAAAGGAGCCTCCCATTGACAGTGGATCAATCTCAATCCACGAAACTCCTCGTAGCATAGAACATCGCCCAGCAGCTGTCTAATGTACCGCATGCCCTATTCCAGTCCACATTTAATTATAATGCGGAAATCGCAGACTGGGAGTGGATCAGGGCCACAGAAGCGTGAGAGCTCTACAACAGTAGCTAAAAGAAAACTATTTCGAAGAATGGGCCAGCTGCAGGTGGGAAGGGATTGGAGTTTGATACTTTGAAGAGAACCCGAAAGCCAATAAATACATATGGCAGAAACAACTGCTTTTGGGGTCTGAATGGTCCAATGGTACTCTTGCGGATATTTGTATCAATTAGTTGGTAAGTCCCGGGAATACGTACTGGTTTACGTTGATCTTTTGCTCCGGTTTAAGAAGGCAAGAGCTAACCAATTTGTCTAAGTTGTTGTTTAATTTGGTCACCATTTCCTCATTTAGTACTAGCTCTCCCAAGAACGCACATCCTAAATACTTTATAATTTCACCTGGTTTTGTTGATGCTATAACTTCTCCGTTCTCTAGGGAGAGCTTTGTTTGTTGCAGCTCTTCTTTCTCGACTATTAAGCCCACACTCTGTGGATTTATTGCTAGACCAATCTCTGCAAGGATCCTCTGCACACCATTGACAACCCTCTCTGCAGCACCCTTGTCACGTGCTGTAACAGCCTGGTCATCCTCAAAGCCTGTGAGGACCACACAGGTCTCGGTATAGATGATCTATAGCCAGGTTAAACAGCGAGGGCGACAAGGGTCCACCTTGGGGTACTCCTCGCCGCACCTTGATCCAGCCAGTCAAGTGGGCTCCGATTGCAATCTTGATTTGGTTTGAACCCAGAAGAGCCGCAATTACGTTTTTCAGGTCCGGTGACACTCCTCTTGCCTCTAGTGAGCCGATTATGTGTTCGTGACCAATGTTGTCAAAAGCGCTGACGACATCTAGAAATACCACCGAGCAATCATTCTTTTTATTCTTAGCATCTTTTATGATCGTGTCGATGATTCTTGCATACACATATGCTCCCAGTAGGCCCCTGATGAAGCCCCTCTGATTTTTGCTGAAGGTGATCTGTTTTCTCAGTTCATGGTCCAGAACCTTCTCAATGATTCGGCGCAAATCAAATAAATGCTAATGGGTCACCATGATGATATGCGGTTGGCATTTCCTTAACCATTGTAGACCAGGATTGTGCGCCCTTGAGGTAGAGGCTCTGGTACATACACCACTCTCAGCATGATCTCCGCAATGGTCTTTATGATATATGATGCATCAAAGAATTTAATCGTGCGGACCAAAACTCCGTCCGGTCCTGGCGATGTGTCCAATGATGTGGATTTGATGGGTTTTTTTACTGCTGGACATCGATGGATGTTAGATTTGGCATTGGGGCACAATTTTTGTAATCCGCACGTTTGCAGAGATTTTCTTTCTCAAAGGGGCTTCTGAAGTACCCTTCAATCTTGGCTACCTTTAGAGGGCATTGCTTAGGAGCGTCGGCGTTCATAATGTTCTGCACTACTTTCTTTCTTTTATTATAATAATTATAATGGGCTACCTCATATTGATATTGCTCTTGCCGACGACTCCTGTCCGCCTTGTTGGCGCTCTGTGGATTCGACACTTTTCCCACACTCTTGCCAACCATATCAGTTTTGTCTTTCCTTCTTAGCTTATAAAACTTAACGACAGAGTGTTGTGGGCCAGGCAATTCTTCATTTATGGTTTTTAGAAATTTTAGAAAAACATTTTGAAATCTTGAATTTAATGAATTTCCTTCTTTCTCTCATTCATGAATTTTGACACCAATAAGAATCTCTTTATATATAAGGCTCTTTCCTACTTGTATTTGTATCTATTTGAAGTTAAGTCTACTTAGCTTTTAACATACAATTTATTACCACTTTGTTGAAATAGTCACTAATTTTTTTTAATTGGGCTCATTTTACTATAGCAATGTAAACTGAACATTGTTTTGATTCATAAGATAAATTGGGATGTATAATAAAAAACCATAGTTATATTGTTGATTTGCACATATTCCTGCTGTGATAATTTTATTACCATTTTATAGACTCGTCTAATAGAAAAGCATGGCTATGAATACATTTAGGCTCTGTTGCCTAATTTATGTTTTATATATATTTTAAAAAGACTTTGATTGGTTAATTATCAAAACACTTGGCTGTTATCTATTAAAATACATTGGAAGTGCCATGGGATGGTGGTATAATCAATGCAAGGACTTTTTAAATCTATTTATTTATTTATTTATTTATATGATATTTACAACTGTATACAAAAAATACATCTGGTAAATTCGCACATGGATATAATGACATGAAACACATGTTGAGAAACTACCCATTGGTAGAACTCTAATAATATGTCTATATTAGGAGATCACGTGGCCATCTTCTTTTCAGACGCCTCGGAGGGTTATCAGGAATTGAATAGGAAGCAAGGTTAGAAACAAGAGAGTTGGGATGGTTATGAAGTTTTTTAAATCTAAGTCAGTATTAGAGTATCAGTCTTAGATTTTTTTTCACAATTACTTTGTTTCGTAATATCACATTAATATTACAATACAGTTATTTATGGTAATATTAGTTATATAGTGAAAAAAGAAAAAAAAAAAAAGGACGTGATAGAAGCAGCTGAGTTGGAGTAGTGTGGATAGCTAGCATCAGCCTAATCCTACCAGCCTTCACCCAAACAAACAGGTGCCTTTGTTGTTGTTGTTATTACTTTCGTTTTCTCTCATTTTAAAGCAATTGTGACATATTTATCTATTTTATTTTTTCAAAATGGTTAATTGCAAACTATGCGGAAAAACGGCAGGTAGAGAAGACAAGATTAAATTGACTTGTGTCACATGTCAAAACATCTTTCATGCTAAATGCACGAAAATTGATTTGACAGACTCAGAAGGCCTAAAAGAAGCCAGTAAAAAATGGAAGTGCGCTGATTGCGAAACAGGGTCGCGTACATTGCCAGCCACTGAGCCTAATACTATGATAGACCTACTGAGGACTCTGGCAGAGGAACTAGTGCTTAAGCTTAACTAGTGCTTCTCCCTATCTTATATGATTTAAACAGTGACTTGAAGACTTTTCCACTATTTTTTTTCACAATTACTTTGTTTCGTAATATCACATTAATATTACAATACAGTTATTTATGGTAATATTAGTTATATAGTGAAAAAAGAAAAAAAAAAAAAAGGACGTGATAGAAGCAGCTGAGTTGGAGTAGTGTGGATAGCTAGCATCAGCCTAATCCTACCAGCCTTCACCCAAACAAACAGGTGCCTTTGTTGTTGTTGTTATTACTTTCGTTTTCTCTCATTTTAAAGCAATTGTGACATATTTATCTATTTTATTTTTTCAAAATGGTTAATTGCAAACTATGCGGAAAAACGGC